GGTTTACTTCAAACGCGATGGGGAGACAATTGATGCAGTGCCCCTGTCAGAGCCTCTGGTTGCGAGCTCTGGTCCCCTCCAAGATAGCAGACCCTTCCGCAGCCTCCTCCACCGCGACCTGGACGACACGAAGATGCAGAAGTCACTGTCCCTGCTGGACGCTGAGAACCGGGGCGGACGCCCCTACACGGAGCGTCCCTCCCGAGGCCTGACCCCCGATCCCAGCATCTTCCTCCAACCCACCACCGAGAACATCCCAGAGACTGTGGTGAGCCGAGAGTTCCCCCGCTGGGTCCACAGTTCGGAGCCTATCTACTTCCTGCGCCACAGCCACACCCCGGGAAGCGATGGCACCGTGGAGGTGCGCGCCCTGCTCACCTGGACCCTCAACCCACAGATCGACAATGAGGCCCTCTTCAGCTGCGAGGTCAAGCACCCAGCGCTGTCCATGCCCATGCAGGCAGAGGTTACACTGGTTGCTCCCAAAGGACCCCAAATTGTGATGACACCCAGCAGAGCCTGGGTCGGGGACACAGTGAGGATTCTGGTCCACGGGTTTCAGAACGAAGTCTTCCCAGAGCCCATGTTCACGTGGACACGGGTTGGGAGCCGCCTCCTGGACGGCAGCACCGAGTTCAACGGGAAGGAGCTGGTGCTGGAGCGGGTCCCGCCGAGCTCAACGGCTCCATGTATCGCTGCACCGCCCAGAACCCACTGGACTCCACGGACACGCACACTCGGCTCATCGTGTTTGAAAACCCAAATATCCCAAGAGGAATGGAGGATTCCAATGGTTCCACATCTGGCCCTGCTGGCGTCCGGCTCACCTTGGTGCTCGCCCTAACAGTGGTCCTGGAGCTGACGTGAAGACCAGCGGCCCCACCACCTCTCCATCGGCACTGACAGTCCCGCGGTCGGTTTTCATTTCTTTTCTAAACGATTTCCAAGTCTTGTTCTTAGTCTCTTTCTGTCTGTGAATTGGCTCCTTCAGCCGGTTTAATTAAAACAAACAGAACAATT